CTGTGGTCTTGGTAACGAGACAAGACCAAGACTTTTAGGGACTGGTCTTGTCTCGGTCTCGACCAAGACAAGACCAGTCCCTAAAAGTCTTGGTCTTGTCTCGGTCTCGAGACACTGTGGTCTTGGTACCGAGACAAGACCGAGACTTTTAGGGACTGGTCTTGTCTCGGTCTCGACCAAGACAAGACCAGTCCCTAAAAGTCTTGGTCTTGTCTCGGTCTCGAGACACTGTGGTCTTGGTAACGAGACAAGACCAAGACTTTTAGGGACTGGTCTTGTCTCGGTCTCGACCAAGACAAGACCAGTCCCTAAAAGTCTTGGTCTTGTCTCGGTCTCGAGACACTGTGGTCTTGGTACTGAGACAAGACCAAGACTTTTAGGGACTGGTCTTGTCTCGGTCTCGACCAAGACAAGACCAGTCCCTAAAAGTCTTGGTCTTGTCTCGGTCTCGAGACACTGTGGTCTTGGTACTGAGACAAGACCAAGACTTTTAGGGACTGGTCTTGTCTCGGTCTCGACCAAGACAAGACCAGTCCCTAAAAGTCTTGGTCTTGTCTCGGTCTCGAGACACTGTGGTCTTGGTACTGAGACAAGACCAAGACTTTTAGGGACTGGTCTTGTCTCGGTCTCGACCAAGACAAGACCAATCCCTAAAAGTCTTGGTCTTGTCTCGGTCTCGAGACACTGTGGTCTTGGTACCGAGACAAGACCAAGACTTTTAGGGATTGGACCAAGTTGAGACCAAGACCAGATAAACAAAAGTGTCCTAAATGATGGAGTATTCTGTACTCATGTACTGTACAGTGTGGGAAAAAACATTTAGTCTTTCATAGTTGAGGTCTAACTACAATGTCAATCACAGGCCTCTCTCATCTTTTCAGGTGGGATAACTTGAACTATTGGTGCCGACTAAATACTTTTCCCCCACTGTAGCTAGCTTAATATGTAGAGCTAATATTGACAAAATCTTTGTGTGAGGGCAGAGGAAATAATTTTACTACAGAGGCAGATTAACGTTAGTGACGATAAAAGTTTAAAGTTGTCCCCATCGTCTCTGAAAGTAAAGCACTGCTGAATGAACAAGTTGCTGTACGCTTTCTCCTGGTTGTTGTTGTTAATGATATTATTTATGATTTACTGTATGTAGCCAAATTTTTTACTTAAAATTTTGAAGACATCTTTTACCGCTCCCAGAGAACCACTGCTCACTTTCCTGGAGCGCTGCGTGTGACTGAAGACGGTGGGGATGGGTGACAGCCGCTAACAAAAATACATAAATAACAACAAGTCAAGTTTGGATTTTAATCAGCAGCTACATTTTAAATCCAGTGAAAGAAGAATGTTAAATTAATTGGACAATAATCTGGCTGTTTAGTGATATTTCCACAGTTGTGGTCTTGAAACAAAATTCCGAGTCCTCAATGTCCGAGACCGAGACAAGACCAAGACCATCAAAAAGTGATCCAAGACCTCAAGTACTACAACACTACTGTTATTGTTGATGTTTATGTTGTTGCTGATATTGTTGATAATGATGATAATGTTGTTTATGTTGTTGTTTTTGTTGATAATGTTTATATTTGTTGATTTTATTGAAGATATTATTGATGTTTATGTTGTTATTGTGGATGATGTTTGTATTTGTTGTTTTTATTGTTGTTGTTGTTGTTGTTGTTTCAGGGAAGTGGTCGACACATAAATGCAGTGAACTCCACGGATACGTGTGTCGGAGGAACACGGTGTCGGTGTTGGAGACGCCGCGGGAGCCTCATTACATCGGAGGCTGTCCGGAGAARTGGCTCTACTTCGGACACAAGGTTTAAACATGAACACATGGTGTCTGTTAGCAAAATATGTCAGGAGCCAACAGAAAGATTTATCTATGATTACAACTCGTTAACAAGACGGTTGTCACACCTAACTGACTTTAGCAAACACTAATTAATTAATTCTCTCTCTTTTAAACTTCCTGTTTTTTCCCACCTCTTTTGCAAAAATCCTGTCAGTGAGTTTCATCCTCGGTTGTGGAAATACATCCAACAAATTCTGAGTTTCACTAAAATCCATCTAATGGGTGATGAAATATTTTGCTAACAGACACCATGTGTTCATGTTTAAACCTTGTGTCCGAAGTAGAGCCACTTCTCCGGACAGCCTCCGAT